TGCAGAGGAAGCAGGAGATGAACATGCCATGCTGAAAAAAAAAGGTACCACCACATGGTAGAGCATAGAAAAGAAATATGGGTTATTTTAACTTGAAAGAGCTAGTCAGTAACAAGCCTAAGCTATTGGTTGGACATTTATAGTGACTTATAAGTCTCAGAGTGGTTTTGTAGGGAGCCAGTGGTCCTAACAAAAAAAAACTCCACCTAGCCATAATAATACACATAATTTAATAAACAAATTCATCTACCCTGTTAACATAATTTTCAAATAACCATTTGATTATGTCACTTGATATAGCAAAGGCATTAAATAGAGTTCAATATTCATAATTAAAATTCAACAAACCAGGCACAGACGGGGACTTCCTCGTCCTAATAAAGAACATCTTTTAAAAATGTGATACTTAACAAAAAGCATCTTAAAAAATGAAGATATGTTCGTGTTATTTACTGTTTATCTTCTGAGCATATTACAGTATCTGGCACTCAAATCCTACCCATTCATATGTGCTCACTTATTCATACCCCAAATACTAAACACACACACATATATATAAGATATAACCTTAAATACTATAACAGATACAAACAGTAAAAATTTTTGTTTATCTGAAACATGTGACATTGTCTTTGCTTATCTGAAATACTCATTTAATTGGTCCTCTATTTTCTCAGCCATACTAGATGTTGTCTTATCTATATTGTATGAAATCAAGCTTCTACAAAGGGGTGGTTACTTGAATTCTATTTATTTTTGACTTGGAGGAGGATTCTGAACTGCTCCACTCCAGGCAAAGATACATGCTACATCCAACAGTACCTCATTCACACAGGTACTCAGAAAGTAGCAACTGCTTTGCAGATTGTGTGAAAATACGGGCGACATTTATAATGTTTACTGCTATTCCCCCGAGTCTATTACAACACCTGGTGCAAAAGTGAATATTTGATTAACTGAATAGCTAACACTCATGCACCTACAAATGCACAGTTGACCTTTTACTCCAGCCTTTGTACCTGGCTGATAAACACTGCTGTCGTTTGTGTGTGCTTGAGTGCTTACAAGTGTGTGTGTGTGTGTGTGTGTGTGTGTGTGTGTGTGTGTGTGTACAGTTATGACAGGGAAGACACTGAGGAAGGAGCAATAAGACAGCTGGTCACATCCACAGTCAGAAAGCAGAAGGAGATGAAAGGCCAAGCTCAGCTCATAAAGTGGTGCCGCCCGCGTATAGTGTGAGCATGCTAACTCAATTAAGTTTAGAAACTTCCTCATAGACATGCCCAAAGGTTTATCTTCTAGGTGATTCTAAATCCTCCTAAGTTGAAAATTAGTATCAACTACTGCATAGCCAGAACTAAAGCATTATTAATATCTAATATTATATTGATAACTTTAAATTATTTTCTTTCAATATGAACCCTCAAAATAAAGTAAAATTCAGAATGTAAAGTCTGGAAATACAATTTATTTTCTTAGGTTTTTTTTCCTTTTTTTGGTTTTTGGAGACAGATTTTCTCTGTGTAATAGCTCTGGCTGTCCTGGAACTCACTCTGTAGACTAGACTGGCCTTTAACTCACATAGACCTGCCTGACTCTGTCTCCTGAGTACTGGGATTAAAGGTGTGTGCCACCCCTACACTACAATTTACTTGTATGATATGAGGAAGGCATAATTGTGATTCAGAGAGTTTAAATATTCACCGTAGCATGGAAAATAAAAGAACCCAGATACTGATATTGGGGTTCAAACTTCAAGCTGGATATCAGAAAAGCATCTGGCCTCTAAGTTTCACCTCTATCTCAGGCTGAAAGGGCTGATCCACACAAGCTCTTCACCAAGTCTCAAAGTGCTGCCTCTTCTCATTCTGGCTGGAGAATGAATGCCTGATACTGACTGCTGAAGTCCCTGCTTCTATCTTTTGTACCCCTCTAATGCTGGGATTAAAGGCATATGATCTGTTACTCTTTTAGAAGGATTCAATGTCATGTATCCCTGAGTGGCCTTGAACTCAGAAAGATCCGTCTACCTCTTAAAGGAGTCCTAGGATTAAAGGTGTGTACCACCACCTCCTAGCTTCCGCCTGCTGGGATTAAAGGTGTATGCCTGGCTTCTATGGTTTGTGGCTGACTTTGCTTTCTGAATTATAAACAATATATCACCACAATTTACCACAAGTAACAGCCTGTGGGAATCAATCAGATCTGTAACTCTAAAATCAATTTAAAGATCAGTTTGACTATACTATCTAATTGATTTGGATTGATTACTTCTAAATCTAGCCTCTATGGTAAAGTTTGTACCAGTAGAACACTTCTCTGATCACAACTTCATATTTAAGCTTTAACTGATATACAAGTATAAAGTCAAATTTCTTCACAAAAATAGCAGCAAGTACTAATGAATATGTAGCATGCAGAAATACAAGTGCCTTCATATGCTGCTGTTTGGGATGTTTATAATGTAGGTGTTATGAAAAACAATCTGCAAATTCCTTAAAAAGTTGATGTGCCCCAGGTAGTGGTGACCCACACCTTTAGTCCCTGCACTCAGGAGGCAAAGGCAGGCAGATCTCAGTGAGTTCAAGACCAGCCTGAGTTCCAGGGTGGGCTCCAAAGCTACAAAGAAACACTGTATCAAAAAAACAAAACAAAAAAAGAAAGAAAAGAAGGCGGTAAGATGGCTCAGTGAGCAAGGGAGCGGAATTTCCGCCAAGCCTGACAATTTGAGTTGGATCCCTGTGTGGTAAAAGAGAGAATGGACTCCACAAGTTGTCTTTTGATTCCACACATGTGCCATGTCACATGTGCTTACACACAGGCACACAGACACAATAAACAAACGAATGAATGTAAACAGAATTTCCAGGCTGAATATGGTAGTGAACACTTGGCACTAAGAAGGCAGAGGCAGGTAGATCTTTGTGAGTAAAAGACCAGCCTGGCCGGGCGTTGGTGGCCCACGGGAGGCAGAGGCAGGTGGATCTCTGTGAGTTCGAGGCCAGCCTGGTCTACCAAGCGAGTTCCAGGGCAGCCTCCAAAACAATACAGAGAAACCCTGTCTCGAAAAACCAAAAAAAAAAAAAAAAAAAAAAAAAAAGACCAGCCTGATTGATTACATAGGAAGTTCCAGGCTAGTCAGGGAGATGCTGCTGTTAAAAAAGAAAACAGGAAACAATCTGCAGTTCTCTATAGTTTACTCCTACAAATGAGCAGAGATTATATAAGTTATAACTAATGACAAGGGTTAATGCAGAAAGAAATGTCTGGGCTTAGAGGATCTCAGAACTGTAAAGAATTTTTATTTTCTTTCTCAAGACTGGGTTCCTCTGTGTAACCCTAGCCATTCTAGAACTCACTCTGTAGACTAGGCTGGCCTCAAACTAAGACCTGCTCCTGCCTTTGCCTCAAAAGTGCTGGGATTCAAGGCCTACACCACCACTGACCAATTTAGACCTTCAAAGAATCTTAAGATAACTTAGAAAAGCATATCTACTTTCTTGTTTTGAAGATGACTAAGGCCTATAGAATTTCACAAGGTAATATAACTAATGACTGAAAGAAATGATAAATGTACAACCTTTGTAATTTAGTATACCTTGGTAAATCAGGAAGGAACCATAGTAACTTTTTTGCTTGGTTGATTGGGTTTTTTTTTTTCTTGTTGGTTTGAGACAGTTTCACTATGTAGCCCTGGTTAGCCTGGAATTCACAGAAATCCACCTGCCTCTGTTTCCTGAGTGCTAAGATCAAAGGCATTGTTAACCATGCCTGGTGCCATTCATGTTCTTTGCAATCTAGCTTCCCTAGTTGCTAGCAGTTCAATGGAGATGGGTTTGGAGAGTAGAATAGCAAACTCAAGAACCTTGTGCCAAGAGCACCAGGCTATTCTACTTGATATACCAGATTGCTGGATCTTGATGAACTCAAACCTTTCACCATTGGTGTCTTGCATGCCTACATAGGTGTACACTATGTTAACTGACTATATGTAGTTATTTTTTGTCACGAAAAGAAAACCAACTTGACTTTTGTTGCTTTGAGACAGGGTCTCTTTACAATGCCCTGATTGTCCTGGAAATCACTATGTAGATCTGGCAGGCTTACAACTCACAGAAATTCAACAGTCCCTGTCCCAGAATGCTGAGATTAAAGGCACTCAATACCACATCTGACCCAACCTGACTTTTGAGAATAAGGAATTTTATTTCTCAAAGTCTTAAAAGATGAGACTGCCGAGGTTCATCAAACACACACGTGTGTGTGTGTGTGTGTGTGTGTGTGTGTGTCATGGTTCTTTGCTTTTGACTGGAATCATACCTTGGGATAGCTTTTGGTTTTAACCATACTACAAATATAGAAAGCATTAGCATGTAGTTTTATTTTTAAGATAGCTCAATAACTGTCACAATCTTTATTAGAAAGGGCAGATGTTTCAGTTGGTAAAGTTAAAAAAGTCAAAAAATACAATACTTATAAATGCAATTGTGCATGATAAGAGATATTTTAAGTTATGGGAGTCCCAAGCAAAAAATAGTAAAATGTGTCACTGCTGTTGAATTTTCGAACCACATGGCATTACTAAACTAAACATAGGCTACTGTAGTTTTTAGATACTTTAGGTCACCACAAAACTCTGGCTCAGGTCTCTACTAAAGAAATTTTAGAAAATAGAGAAAATTGTGACAGAGATTTTTACAAGAAAAGAACATCTGATACTGCCCCCCCCTTAGATGATGAGATTGTTTTGAGCTGTTTGGGTGAAGGGGCGTTGAGTAACAGGAATGCTTCCACACAAATGCGTTGTGGGAGAAATAAGGTTAAAAGGGTAGAATATGACATTTTGTAAATGGGAAACGAGTTATGAAGCAAGAATGCAAACCAAGTTTTCCAATAAAGATGATTAGGGAAATATATATATATATATATAAATATATTCATTCTTCTCATAACTCAATTGAGTAATCGAAAAATGCAAGTAAATAAACAGAAGTACTTACCCTCCCAAGGGAAGACGAGATCTGACTAAGGTAGCTAGTTCCGGGCCAAATGTTTATAGAGTGCTGACTGAGAGGTGATCAGATACATTAACATTTACTTTTATTGTTAAGGTGACACAAGAATTGTCCTTGCAGCTTTTGCTACCGGGACGTGGCAACTCCGGGGGGTCTGTGCAGTCTCCTGAAGCTGCATTGCAGAGGGGCGTGCCGAGCCTTTCCGCGGCAGGAGGGACCCGGAGAACAAGCAGGGCTAGGCTAGTGTTTTAGGTTGTGTGTCCGAGGCGCTGGGGTCCAGTCGCTGCCGCTGGTGCGGAACGTCCAGGCGCTAGGACAGGGGCTCTCCACAGCGCCAGAGGCTGCGGCTCTGGAGCCGAGCCCCCGGCCGACAAGGGCCGCTAGGGGCCAGTTGCGCGTGGGCCGCTCTGGCCCTCCGCTCGTCTCGGTAGCCCCTCTCCCCTCCCTCTGCCGAGGGTGGGAGGGTGAGGACGCAGCCAGCGCGCGTGCGCGCTCCGCGCTGCAGCTAGTCTGCGTGCGTGAGTGGGAGGCGGCGGGCCTGCGACTCCGGCCTTCCCGGCTGACTGCTCCGACGCCGCATCTCCAGTCATGAACCGGTTCGGCGCCCGGTTGGTGGGAGCCACGGCGATACCGCCACCGCCGCCGCCGAAAGCCCGCAGCAATGAGAACCTCGATAAAATCGATATGTCCCTGGGTGAGGGGCCGGGGCGGCCGCGTCGCGGTGGGGGAGGGGGCGGGAGTCCCTGTGGGGGAAGGGGCGGTTAGCCGTGGTTGTCGGGCGGGTTCGCGCGTGGGCGGAACCGGCGGGGACCCCCGATGTGGGGCGGGGAGACCCGTGCGTGCCCACCCCCCGTGGGGTAGGGAGGGGCCATGGCGAGGACCGGTCTGGCCGCGAGGCCCGCAGGGCCGGCGGGTGCTGGCCTTTTCCCATGCGGGACGCGGTCTCTCGGGCCACGGTTTCCCTTAGGCGTGTGCGCAGCCCTGGCCTTTTCCTTACGAAGAGTCTTGAACTCCGCCAGGGCTGCGACCGGCCAAAGCCAGCGGCTGCGAGAAGGGTTTGCCTGGAGTGACTTACGCCCGGCACCGGCGATTTCCAACCGGCGCTCCAGGGGGAGCGCCGGGGGCGGGGACGCGGTCCCGGAACGGGCGCTCTGAGCATCGTTAGGCGAGGACCGTATTGCTGTGTTGCATTAGATGTTTACTGAAGCATGTTCCCTAGCCGCGTTTCAAAGTTAGCCAGTTGGGGGCGGGGAGGGAGAGATGTACGTAGATTGCTAAAACGTCAGGTAGAACGAGGGGTACAGCACACGTAATAAAAAAGAATGCCGTGATTGCTCTTGATTATGTAAAAAGAAATTAATTAAAAAGCATGATGGTTGTTTTTATTTTCGTAAAAAAATTCAGATCCATCACTGCGAAGGCTTCTGTTTGGCTTAGCGGGTTCCAAAGTAATTCCATTTTTGTAGAATCAAGTTGCCTGCTTTTCTTTTTCCGGGTCTTTTCTTCCCCCCACCACCCCACTTTGATAGATTTTTTAAAAATGAAATACCTGACTGCTGAATTCAAGTGTGACCTTTGCTGAGGATGATATTTAGGGTAATACTGTGCCTGGAAACATTGTTTTGTTTGCTATTTCTCTACATCAGTGTTATCTTTTCTGTTAATTTGGAAAGTTTTTGATTAGCAGTTGAGAATTCTTTCTTGGTTTCTAGGGTTGCCTCAAATCAGAGCCTAGTGTTTGAATTAGAAAATTGGCAGGAATATGTTTGGCCTCTAGTTTGATGACACTGCTGATCAGTAATAAACTAAAAAAAAAAAAAATGAGAGCAGCTTTTGCGTGAAAACCGTGAATCCATATAACATGTTAGATGTATACAGGCTGCTAAGCAGTGAACTAAACATTTATATACATTTACTTTCCTAATAAACTCACAAGCCTTGTGCTCCTAGTGATAGGTAATCTAGAACTATGCTATATCAGTGGGCCCCTGCCTCTGACACCTCTAACCCCATGACTATGGACAAATTACTTGTTAGTACTTTTTGTCTAAAAAAGAGATGGTGGGGGCTAGAGAGATTGGCTTGGTGGTTAACAGCGTATTTTGTTCTTGCAGTGACCCAAAGATTGGCTCCCAGCACCCACTTTTCGCAGCTTGGCTCACAACTTCCTGGAACTCCAGTTCCATTCCCTCTTTTGGCATCCATAGACACTGCTCACATGCACAAACCTGCAATCATACACACATAATTAAAAATAAAAGTTCAAGAAAGGTGACAGTAACTAACTAGAGACAGTTGGTTCTCTCCCACCATTGGTGCCAGAGATTAAACTCAGGTCATCCGACTTTTGCCCACTAGCCATTTTGTGTTTTGAAAGAAGGTGTGGGTGTGGGTGCTATGCCTGTGTGTGTTGCCCACTGAGGTGTATGTGTGGGTGTTATGCCTGTGGATGCCAGAAGTCTGGCGTCGTCTTTAATCTCTGTCTACCTTTATGAGTTAGGGTCTCTTACTGAGTCTGAAACTTGTCATTCTGGCTAACCTGGCTGGCCAGCATGTTATCAGAGGTCTAGTGTCTATTTCTCCAGTGCTGGGATTACAGACATGTGCCACAACGTCTAGCTTTTTGTATATGGGTGCTAGGGATCTGAACTGAGGTCTTCATGCTTGTTGGGTGAGCATTTTACTGACTGAGCCATCCCTCTAGTCCTTTTGTATTTTGTTTGATAATTAGGACATCAGTTAAAGAGGGCTGATTCTTTTCAAAGTAGAAGAAAAGTGCTGTGGAGAGCTGGAATAGAACTGTCTTTTCCTCAAGAGAGTAGGTCCGTCTTTCAGGTGCTTTTCTTTTAGTTTAATCTTAGAGGTTTGTGAGAAAGAGATGGTTAGTCTGCAAGTCTGCAGAAGTTTTAGGATCTGCATCTGGGTGTGATTAGACACAGCCTAATCCCAGCAGAGAAGTGGAGGCAGGCAGATCTTTAGGCCAGCCTGGTCTATATAGCAAGTTTTAGGTCAGCCATGGCTGCATAGTGAGATACCCTTCCTCCAAAAATTTGGCTTTCATTCATTCTTTTTTTTTTTTTACTCTATTGGATTTATATGAGAACTTATGTAGATTATCTACCAAGTTAACTGACATTGGTTCAGTTTCTCACTTTAAAAATTAATATTGTAACCCTTTTTTCATAGGATTGCTGTGAGAATAATTGAATGCACTATAATTATCTCAGACACATGAAGAATGCCCTGGAAGAAATGTTTTCCTTTTGTTAAAAAAAGAAATGGTTTATGTGTATGAGTGTTCTGCCTACAAATGTCTGGTACATCACATGAGTGCCTGGTGCCTGTGGAAACTGGGAAAGGGCATCAAATCCCCTCAAACTTGAGTTGTAGCTCATTATAAGCTGCCATGTGGTCTCAGGGAATTAAATCTGGGTTTTCTGGAAGAGCAGCAAGTGCTCTTAACTGCTGACCAATCTCTGGCCCCAGAAGAAACTTTATAAAGTAGTTCATTGTAATGGATCTTTTATCTTCTAGTACTTAATCCTGTGTACTCACTGGGTCAGAGAGGCCATTTTCTCCTTTCATGTCAAAAGATTTTGTTTAAGGACTTAGATAATAAAATGTTTTTCTATTTTTAATTTTTAGTTGTGTCAAGAATTGTTTTACACCAGTAATCCAGCATCCAGCACTCTGGAAGATGAGGCAAGAGGTTCATGAATTTGAGGCTAGCCTGGGCCAAAGTGAGACCTTGTCTCCAGTTAATTTCAACTATATTTCTGCTGTATATGCTCTGTGTAGAAATTATCTTGGTATGCTGGGCAATGTGGCACATGCCTTTAATCTCAGCACTTGGAGGTAGAGGGAAGTAGAACTCTGAGTTCAGGTCTATGAGTTGAAGGCCAGCCAGGAATATATACTGGGACTTTGTCTCAAAAACAACAAAAAATTAGCCTAGTAGTCAAAACTAACACCTTCCTTGCCCTAATCTCCTTACCAAATTGATTGTTTGGGTATATTTTCAAAGCTTTGAGGTTGTGAATGTCTACTGGAATGTGAATAGTAGCCTATTAAGGGAAAATTCCTGTTTTCTACTCAATTAGAATTTAATAAGTTCATATATCTGATATTTATGAGACCTTTTGTTAAAATCTAGTGTTATGGTTTAAATTAGTGTCTCCCAAAAGGCCCCTAATTGAAGGCTTAGTTCCCCAGCTGGTGAGTTACTGAGAGCTTTACTGATGCCCTCGATGGGCTAGGCATGGAGAGTTCACAACTCAATGAGTTATTTAGGAGAGGTAGGGCCTAGTTAGAGGAAGCAGGTTGCCAAAGGCATGCCTTTGAAGGTCAGCGCCCTCTTCTTTTCCAGGATGTCAGGAGGCAGTCAGCTTTCCCCTCCATGCTCTTCCCGCATGATGTTATGTATCATTACAGGCCTAAAAACAACTGGGCCAAGTCACCACAGACTGAATGAAGCCTCTGAAATTATGAGCTCCGCCCCCTCAAAAAAACACCTTTCCTAGCCGGGCAGTGGTGGCGCACGCCTTTAATCCCAGCACTCGGGAGGCAGAGGCAGGCGGATCTCTGTGAGTTCGAGGCCAGGCTGGACCAACAGCCTCCAAAACAATACAGAGAAACCCTGTCTCGAAAAACCAAAAACAAAAAAACAAAAAAAAACACCTTTCCGTGTGTGTGTGTGTGTGTGTGTGTGTGTGTGTGTGTGTGTGTGTTCAGTGGAGGAGCGTGACTAACACAAATGGACAAATGGTTTTTAGTGTCTTTTATTAAGTGGTGGTGAGGATCAAGCCTAGGTTCTTAGGAGTGCTTAGTGTGGAGCACTCTACCACTGAGCTACACCTTCAGCCCTTATGTTTTTACATTTAGCAAGCTATTTTGCAATTGGAGATTGGTCTCAAGAAGACAACTATGTACTTTGAAGTACTTTAAATTACATATATTTTTGTGTATATGTGTGCATGTTGCTGTATGTGTTTAGTTCAGAGAGCAATTTATGGGAGAAATAATATAAATCATGTAAAAAATGATCCTTCTAATCTTTTTTTCTTGTATGATTTAGGAAAAATAATTATTGACATCTTTATGGTTAAAGTCATTTGGAAAAACAATTGCAGTTAGCCTTTAGCTTTAGTAGGAAGTTGCTGAGAATGCGGTTTCTTTAGTTATTTGCATTGTCAGTCATTGCAATTAATATTTGGCTTAGGGACTAGAGAATTTTTCCTTTCTTCCTTCCCTCCTTCATCCTCTCTGTCTTGAGATGGAATGACGTTATGTAGCCAGAGCTGCCCTTGGAGTTACAGCAGTCCTGCCTCATTCTGTCAAGTGCCAGGGTTACAAGTATATGCCGCCATACCCAGCTGTGTTTGGATATTTCTTCCTTTTTTTTTAAACACTTATTTTTAGGGTCTGGGCTTGTACATCATAGCATGAGGAGTATGGTATGGAAAGGTATGGAAGTCAGAGGACAGTTTGCGGGGACCAGTTCTCTCCTTTGACCATGGTAATAAACTTGAGCCATCAGGCCTGGAGGTAGGTGCCTTTATTTGAAGAGCTGTCTCCCTGGCACAAGATATTTTTTTAATGAGTGTATTGTTGGCTTCTAGTAACCTTTGACACTTAATAAGAATTTGAAATACATTTAATTTTCTCATCTTTTACATTGTTCACTGTTGTATTAATACAGGGTGGTGTTTATGAATTATTCTGAGGTGGTTTGATGGTGTGTTTGGAATAATGAAGTTTACAGAGTTAGAGAGGTCAGAATAGAAAGAAGTATTTATGAATGACTTTGCTAGAGGAAAACAGAATCTCAGAGTACCATACCTTTATGATGATACTTGTTAATTTTGCTGCTCTTTGCTTGCCTGTTTCCATAAATAATTTAAACTACTGAGAATGAGGGCTATCTTAAACTTTTGTTTCCTTTATGGTATACTTACACATGAATTAATTGCATAAAGTGTACACCTAATAAATGTTTTCTGAATTCAGGTGAATTTAGAAATTTTGTCTTTTGAGGTCTTTATTGCTATTTTTGGGTTGGTTGGTTGGTTGGGTCTTTCTGAGAGCCAAAGCTTGCCTTAAACTCAATATGTAGTCAAAGCTAGCCCTTGAACTCCTGATCCTCCAACAGCAAGAGTATACATTTTGTTGTTTCTAGTACTGGGTTTGAACCCAGGACCTTATGTGTTCTAGGCAAACACTACTACTGAGCTAACTCTACCTGCTGTCCCATCTCCCTGTCAGAACTCATTAGATGGTGGATCCTCTTTTCGCTGTTGATTGGAACTTTTGCTAGAGAAACTTTTTTCAAGCATTTCATCAGATAAAATGACTGATTGAAGCTTGTGATGAGGGAAAAGGATTGGAGTCCAGGTAGCTGAAGCTATATAGTAAGTTCAAAACCAGCCTTGGGTACACATGGAAGCTGTCTGAAAAAGCTAAAATAATAATAATGGGGACTAAATTTACAAATATAGGAGAAATCTATTGACTATAAAGAGACCGAGCAATTTATTCATCATGTTAAAATGAAAATAATTATGGCATTACCTCTTTTGTAGATGATATTATCAAACTGAATAGAAAGGAAGGAAAGAAGCAAAATTTTCCAAGACTAAATAGAAGACTTCAGCAAAGTGGTACCCGGCAATTCAGGATGAAAGTACGGTGGGGGATCCAGCAGAATTCTGGTAAGTTTTAAAATGCTGTTATTTATGGATTCATAATGTAATATGTTCAGCATAGACGTAAAGCCTGGAAGGAATACATCAGTACCACTTTGTGATTTTATTTACTCTCAGATTTTTGTTTAGTTCTGAAAACTTGATTAAAAAAAAAAACATTTCCTAGCCAGGCGTTAGTGGCTCACGCCTTTAATCCCAGCACTTGGGAGGCAGAGGCAGGCGGATCTCTGTGAGTTCGAGGCCAGCCTGGTCTACAGAGGGAGTTCCAGGATAGCCTCCAAAGCCACAGAGAAACCCTGTCTCGAAAAACCAAAAAAAAAAAAAAAATTTCCTGAAATAGCCGATTGATTGATCCTTAAAATACTAAGTTGTTTAAGAGTAATCTCAGTTTATAAATAGTTTAAATTAGATTTAGAGTTTAGAATTGCCAAAAATCATCAGATCCTGTTTCCCTCCCCAGTGACAGTCTGACGAATAGCTAACTGACTCCAGCTTGAGTTTGTCCGGCAACAGAACATACTGCACCACAAGATAACTGACTCTTGTGAGACAGCTCTATTACTAGAAAATTCTAAGTTTGAATTAAAGCATGTCTAAGTATATCAGGAACAAACTCACTTTGTAAAGGACAATGCTATTCTGCAAAGAAAATTACTGCAGATTTATTTAGTTAGAGGCAGAGTCTCACTGTGTAGCCATGGCTAGCTGTGTAGACCAGGCTGGCCTAAAAATCACAGAAACCGCCTGCCTCTACCTCCCAAGTACTGAGATTAAAGGCCTGTGCCACTTTGCCCAGCTTTCCTCCAGACTCTTTATCTTATCATCCAAGAACTTTATTTGTAAATTTCTCAAATGTGGCACTAAATAGACTGCTGTAGATGTAATTAGATAATGTGCATATATAGTCATTTTTGATAATCTGACAGCTGCTTTACCTATAATCATTTTGTTCTAAAATAGATTGGGAGCAATAATTAAACACATAGATTATAAATTAACTTTTTAGCAATGATACCAGCACCTTTGTTCAAATAAAAAGAAACTTAAGTCTTTTTCACAGAAAAGTAACTTTTTTGGAAGCTCCATTTGCAATGGTATTGACAGTTGCAGACACGAAGTTGGGAGGAAGGGAAAACCCCTGCCTCTCAGCCCCACCCCCATTCCCCACCTCACAAACAAAAGGTACCAGCCTAAACAACAGGAACCCATGGAAGAGAAGTATTAGGAAGTGTGATAAGGAGGGTGAGGGTGGCTCCCTACCACTGATTGCTTCTGGTGGGGTACAGGAGGGGAATGACTCAGTTCTACCAAAGGGGCAGGCCAGTGAGGATTTGATCATGTTCCGGTGAATGTGTGAGTAACCAAGCTGGCCTTTTAAAAAGTACATCTTTTATTATTATTATTATCTTAGATTTTGGGGGGTGCACAATGGTGGACAAGAAGGACTGGGAAATGAGAGTGATTGGGGTGTATGATGTGAAATTCCCAAAGAATCAATAAAAATAAAAACAGATAAAAAATAAAATAAAACAGGGTTAGCAATGAATTAACACTTGTTGGAGGTAGGAAGGGATGGAATAAGAGAATCTTATGTATTTAACAGTAGATGGAATTAAAAAAAAATAACTTTTCCAGGCCGGGCGTTGGTGGCGCACGCCTTTAATCCCAGCACTCGGGAGGAAGAGGCAGGCAGATTTCTGTGAGTTCGAGGCCAGCCTGGTCTACAAAGTGAGTTCCAGGACAGCCTCCAAAGCCACAGAGAAACCCTGTCTCGAAAAACCAAAAAAATAAATAAATAAATAACTTTTCCAAATTATTCAGCCACTAATTTTTATTCTATATTTTGAAAAGCAAAAATTAATCTTCAGTTGTTTGAGTATAACATATATTTAACAGCATGTATTAAAAAATATTACTGAGACTGGAACCTACAGGAAACTTAATGTTCTTTAATGAGTTTTTAAAGATTTGTTTTTTATTTTTATGTAGGGGTGTGTGCCTGTGAGTACAGCTGCTGATGGAAGTCAGACATTGGAGACTCTGGAGCTGGAGTTACATGTGGGTGTGAGCCACCTGACTTAGTTAGGTTCTGGGAACTGAGCGAGTGCTCTTAACAGCTGAACCATATCTTTAGCCTCTAATAGTTTTTGAGTAGCTGAATCTAGTTAGTACATTTTGTGATAGGTATTTAGTTGTTAGAAATAAATATGTAATTCTTTTGATTTAAAGATTCCTGTGCAAATGTTTTTCAGTTTGCCATGTTTAATATACCATGATGTGTTTATATATTTTGTTTTGAAGTAATCATTTAGAGTTCAGAGTATCTAGAAATATAATTTATTAATATTTTACATACCTGATAAATGATTTGAACCTTCCTCGTTCTGGAAATGCATAAAGATACAGTGTCTTACTTAAGGAGATAATTTCTAGTGACAAATAACTTAGAGAAGATACAATTTAAAAAATGTCATAGGTGGGCATGGCAATGCATGTCTGTAATCTCAGCATTTGGGAAGTGGAGATAGGAGATGTCTGGCAAGTTCAAGGTCAGCTTAATCTATGTAGTGAGATTGCCTAAAAAACAACAGGCAAAGTAGGGACAAGATGGGGGGGGCTGGGTGGTTACAGTGTGACTCAGCAGGAAAGAGAACAGACTGCTCCTCCAGAGGACTTAGGTTGGAGTCCCAGCACTCACATGGTGGCTCAAACTGTCTGTAACTACAATTCCAGAACATCCAACACCATCTATCCTTGGTGGGCACCAGGCACACACACTCATACATGCAGAGCAAAGCACTCATGCACATAAAATAATTTCTTAAAGATATAGTATTATAGACTTCACATAAGAAATTTGTGCTAAGGGAAAGTGTAATTTGATAACTAAAATGAAATTTGATCCATGATACATCAGAAAAATTATCCTTTTATGGGGTTATGATATGAGCCTTGAGGTAAATGATATCTAGGGAAGCTTAGCAAGTCGTACAGTGGATGTTGTACGGGGTAGGCTCTCTGCTGACATGCTAGCTTAAAATAGAATAGCTGCTGCTGCTATTGGATTGTTGTTACTATCCAATTGACTGAGAAGAGTTTAGATGTCCACCTGTGGTATCAGTAATGACATTAATTTGAGGGAAGAGAATAACAGCAAATGACCATTGGATAAGCAGTATGATTTTGTTAGCTGGAAAACATAATTGAAGCCTTTAACCCCTTGTCTAAAATACTAACTTAGAAACTCATTAAACACTTGTAAAAACAACTTTAATGTTTTGTGGTAGAAAACCAAACAAAATTAAACCAAACAACAGAGGTGACCAAAATGTTATCTGGATACCTGTAGAGAATCCTAAAGACTGAGGGTTATGTGAGGTGAAAACTGCATTTATATCAAGGCATTGTCATTCTCTCATGCACATAGACTCTTCCTGATAATTTAAATTGCTTGAATACAGAAGCAGTATCTTAGTTCATGCTTTAAAACATACTACTATGGATTAGGTAGTTTATAATCCAAATAAGTGCATTTCTTTGTTCTGGAGTCTTAAGTCCTAGATCAGGGTTCCAACAGGGTCAAGTTATGATGAGATCCTTCTGGGGTGAAACCCATGGACTTCTTATGTTAATCTCATGTGGTGGAAAGAGGGTAGAGAACCCTCTGGGGTCCATTGTGTAAGAGTGTCAAAGCTCTCTCCTCATAACTTCAGTTATTTCTCAGAGGCTCCTAAAATGATTAAAGCAAAGGATGTATATGTGAAAAAAATTCATTAAAGGACCAGTGTGGGGTTTCAAAAGAGACAACTTTTCTGTGTCTAGTCTAGTTCTCATGGATAAGAGAAGTGGAAGAATGGTGAAAGTGGATCTTTCTCTGTTCCGCCTGCCAGCTCCCAAATAACCACATAGAGCCTTCTTATTAATTATGAAAGCTCAGCTGATAGCTTAGGCTTGTTTCTAACTAGATGTTATATGTAGCACAAATAATAAAAACCCAGAGACAGGTATTGGGGTTAAAGCTGAAGATCAGAAAAGGTGGTCAGAAGCAAAGCAGCAAGCCACTAGCTCTTACCTCTACCTCAGACCAAAATGGGTGATCCTGAATCCAAGAATCCTTAGACTGACTTGAGACTGCACTGAGCTCCTGCTTTGTATTCCTCTCTAGTGCTGGGATCAAAGGTGTGAACTCTATTTCTCTTTTAGACTGATTTACTCTCATGTAGCCCAGAGTGGCCTTGAACTCACAAGAGATCCATCTGCCTCTGTCTCCTGAGTGCTGGGATTAAAGGTACGTACCACTACTATCTGGCCTTTTTGGCTAACTAATGGCTTAGAGGTGTGTGGCTAACTAGTGACTCAGCTCTGCAAGCAAGCTTTATTTGTTAGATTACAAACAAAATATCACTACATAAAGTAACCAACCCATTTTTATTAATTCACTTTCTGCCTTATGGCTTTATTACGTTATCTCCATAGTGCTCATACTGCTCACTCTGTGTCTCCTGTCATCTCTGCCCTTCTTCCCAGCATCCACTGTGTCTAGAAATCACAACACGGTGGAAAGAATGTGTATGGGAGCAGTGTTCTATACACAGACATTGAGAAGTAGAAAAGATTAAAGGGTAGACTCTGACCAGTATTGTCTTGCTCTCAACTTTATTCCTGTTAGTCTTGTTTGTTTCATTTGACGCTGAAACTATGGTATAATAATGGATTCTGTCTTCTTTTAACATTTCTTTTTTGCTTTGCAATTCACTCTTGGAGGGGGGGGTTGAGTGGGAAGGAGGTGGGGAGGAGAAAGAACATGATCAAATATATATTGAAAAGTAAACTGAAATAAGATAAAAGTCCAACTCCTGTGTAGTTATTTCAGTTTGTTGTTCCTCTCATAGTCCTTTATCAAGTCTTGCTTGAGTATTACTATGGAATTTATCCTAAGTGGTCTTGTCACATTCTCTTCCTTTCTTCCAGTGGGTCTAAGACACTGATAGTAAGCTGATGTAATATTATCAGGAACTATGTCTGTTCCAAGCCTTACATGATTTATGCCCAGTACTTCCATTCACTTTTACCCTCCCCTAGACTTACATCTCTCAATATATTATGGTCACTCATGTCTTGTCATTAAACTAACTGAAAATTCTTCGTGTCTGCCTTCTTATTCAAATGCTGCTCATTTTATAACAGCTTGTCCAAAGCTTACTTTTTCCTTCACCATATTTAGAGCTGCACACACCTGCGTTTACAGCATGGTTCTATTCTTCTCTTCGACCTCTCAGTCATCATTGTTCCTTGCCTTACCTACAAAAGTAAGATGAAAGCATCAGTCTCATTAGGTTCTCATGGAAATTAGCATTTGACAGTGCCATGTCTAGCACTGTAAGTGGGAGCTGTTTTAGTAGTTGACACAAATAAAATGACAGGTCAGATTTTATATACAAATTCATTCAACATTTTAATCATTCCAATAGAAAGTCACATGATTTAATTAGAAATGTTGTATCTTTACTCCTTTTTTTCTCTTAAAATTAATAGTAGCCAATACTTCTAGGACTGAGAATACCTGAGAAGGAACTTGCCTGGACAAAACGCAGTTCCACTACCCAAGAATTGGTCTTATTAGAAGAGGGTGAGACCATGACATAGTCTCCTGGATGGCAGGAGAAGTGCATTGAGTTTCTGTCCTACTGTGACTCAACGGGAAGTTGCCTATGGATATGTGGTGATGTTGCTTACATTTACTGGGAGGTGAACAAGAATGGGAACTAGACAAGTGCTTCCTAGGGTATAAAATTTAACATACCACTCACAAATTTTGTACTATTAGCCTTGATAGCCAAATAGTATCAGCCAGGGGCAGGGAGGCTGGTGAATATTTAGTGTCCCATGCACAGGAACAAACCTTGAGAAGCACGGTGGCACCTGGAAGAAAAGCTCCTTCGTTCTCTAGACTCTCCCCAGCCTCCTCTACTGACAACAGTGTCATGCCCACTGATAAAGTGGTATTCTTATTGGAGGCAGGTAGTAAAGGATGATCTGAGAGGTAATAAATTAATAACAATTCACAGATCCCATAGCATAACAGGCTTTCCTAGATTGTACTCTGGTTTCGAAATTACTGGTAAGAGTATCACACAAAAAGATTTCAGAAATTAATAAGCTTGGGAATGACTATATTACTTTCCCCTTAGAGATACATAGCATATTAGCCCTGAGGCATCCTACAACAAATTATTTTTTAAGGATTGTATTTATTTTATGTATATGAGTGCTCTATCTGCATGTATACCTCTGTTCCAAAAGAGAGTATCAGATCCCACTATAGATGGTTGTGAGCCACCATGCAGTTCCTGGAAGTAGATCCAACTGAGGACCTATAAAAGAGCAGCCAGTGCTCTTAACCACTATGCCATCCTCCAGCCCCCAAGATTGTGTGTGTGTGTGTACACATATACACAAACATATGACATGAAAGCTAAGGAGGACTATTTGAGGGAAGGAAGAGGACTTGGGATGTAGCTTAGTGGTAGAACACTTGTTTAGCATATATAAGACCCTGATTAAATCCTCATCAACAGAAAAGAAAGTAATTAAGGGCTGTGAGTGTAGCTTTGTGAGAGGCACTAGCCTGGCATGTGTGTGACTCTGGGTTTAATCCTCAGCTCAAAAAATAGTAGCAGTTAAAACCTTAATAACTTTCTATGATGCCATGAATGACAGTGTGAAAATTAATAGGAGAAATGAATCATATCTAGTGATAAGGTAAGAAATGTACAAAAAACAATTTCACTTAACCAGCCTAGTGACACAAAAGTATCTGTATAGTGGAAATATATACCATGTTGGTGGACAGTAAAATTTAGTAAAGATGCTTAAAGTTAATTATAAATGAATGCAAATAAAACCCTTCTCTTATTTGAGTTGTTTTTCTTGAGAAAGGGAGGGTCTCTCAACATAGTTCTGGCTGTCCTGGAACTCACAGAGATCTACCTGCCTCTGCTTCCTGGTGCTGGGATTAAAATCATGTGCCACTGTCCAGTTTCCCTCTTAAACCCCTGAAATACATAACTTAGTCACAGAAATATGTTTTATGAATGTTGATAATTCATAATGAAAGAGTATAGATAGCTAAAAACCCAAGATACAGGTTTATTCTCAGTGGTAATAAAGTTATCAAGTAAGGCATAATTTTTCCTCCTAAATACTAAGCAATACAGATGAAAAATGGGCTGAGAGTGTGACTAGTTGTTGAACACTTGCCTGCCTTGTACAAGACTTGGAGTTCAACCCCAAGAACCTAAAACACAAAAATACTAAAGAAAAAAAAAACTGAGTTGCACAAGGGGTGAGATTGGGATATACTGGGGCTGGTGAGATTGGTAAGTGGTTAAGAGCATTGACTGCTCTTGCAGAGGACCAGGTTCAGTGCCCAGCACCCACATGGTGCCTCACAAGCATCTGTAACTCCAGTTGTAGGGATTGGACACCCTCTTCTGACCTCCACAAGCACTGTGCACATGGGGTATGGTTACATATGTGCAGACAGCACTTGTATGCATAAAACAAAAATAAATCTTTAGAAAACATATACTGCACAAAACATTTTTCATAATGAAAACATTTAAAAGTTGTTAATAATATAGAAAAGGGAGGTCTACCATATGTTTCTAAAAATACAGGTAAATGCATCATATGGGATTTTTTTGTAAGGTAAGTAAAACAACTTAAGAGTTTGCCTTATTCTTTGGCCTAGTGTTTCACCTTCTAGAAATATGTTGAGGATGGATGTGTGTAGAAATGTTAGAAGTAACTGAAGTGAAAGTTGAAGGTCATGCTGTTAGATTAAATTAGAGTCAGCCTGAACTACCTGAGACCCTATCTCAAAAAGACAAAACAGATAACTGAAGTGATTACTAAGTTGGTTAGACTGAGTGTAGCATATTTTAAAGTAATATAATAAAAAGATATAAAAATGTGGGATAAGCTGGGCGGTGGTGGCGCACACCTTTAATTCCAGCACTCCGGAGGCAGAGGCAGGCGGATCCCTGTGAGTTCGAGGCCAGCCTGGTCTAAAAGAGCTAGTTCCAGGACAGCCTCTGAAACAATACAGAGAAACACTGTCTTGAAAAACAAAAACAACAAAACAAAAAAATGTGGAATAATATTCATAGTGTAGTATTAATGTAGCCTATAAAATATTACACAAGTGTATGAATTTAGTTTATGTGAAAAGTTGGTTCATCTCACCCTTTGGTGCTTTACTAATACAGAAAGAATGCTTACTGTGTGGTAATACTTTTTGAGTTAACTTAAATATAGCTGAAACTAAAAATATGCAGCAAGCTTTTTTTATTTAGAATATTTTGTTCTTTGATAATTTCATATATATATATATGGCTTTTTTAATCATTAAAAAAGTATATAAATTAGAGAACTTTTTAACAGGAAAGCAAACTTAGTGATGTTACATGCCACAGAATTTAAAGTAAGTTCATTGGCTCTAATAAAGATTTCAGCAAAAGCAGTTTGAATAGAGTAAGGCTAAAAAGTAAAGCAACCAAGTTGTAACTTAGTAAATTGAAGCCGGGCGGTGGTGGCGCACGCCTTTAATCCCAGCACTCGGGAGGCAGAGGCAGACGGATCTCTGTGAGTTCGAGGCCAGGCTGGACCGACAGCCTCCAAAACAATACAGAGAAACCCTGTCTCGAAAAACCAAAAAAAACAAAACAAAACTTAGTAAATGGAAGATGAGCTACTGACTCAACACTGATAGAAGTAAATCGAACCATTACTAAGGAATTTGATTTAGACAAGCATATTCAGGATATTACCATTTTAGCATAAAATACAAAACCATTAATGAAACACTATGTACCATCTAAGTTTAGATTAAACTAACCACATATAATTGGTGACCACTGGTGAACATGATGACACACATCTATAATCCTAGACTTGGGAGGCAAAAACAGGAAGATTGCTATGAAGTTAAGGTTAACCCCATCTTCATAGCATTTCAAGACCAGCCAGGACTATGTAGTGAGACCCTGTTTCAAAAACAAATAAATGAGTAGTTACTGTATTGCATAAGTTGGTTTAGACTCTCCTATTGAGAAATTAATGTTAGGGGTTGGAGGTGTATCTCAGAAGTAGAATGTTTACACAGCACATGTAAGGCTGTGAGTTGGATCCCCATCACCACATATACCCTGTTTCAGAAGTGAAATAGCTGATCAACTTTGCAGTTGTATTCCTAAATTTTTACTATCCTTTCTTTCTGTAGGTTTTGGTAAGACTAGTGTGAGCCGTAGAGGAAGAGTATTGCCTGGAAAGAGACGTCCTTATGGAGTTATCACTGGCCTTGCAGCTAGGAAAGCAACTGGAATTCGAAAAGGAATTAGTCCTATGAATCGTCCACCTCTAAGTGACAAGGTAGGATAATAGCTTAATCCTGGGCTAGATACCATTGTCCTCTGTATGTGTGTGTGTGAGACTGTTACATACTTGTAGTGATTTTAAGGCAAGGTCTTAAAGGCCTTGTTGACCTACAGGACTTACTATGTAGACAGATTGGCCTTGAACTCACAGAGATCTGCCTACCTCTGCCTCTTAAATGCTGGGATTAAAGATGTGTGCCACCTGTATTAATGTTTTTATGAATAAGCTTTACAGCCTTTTGATTCTTTTCACAAAAAAATTAAGGATTTTATCTTTTTAAGGGGGGAGGCGGCTATGTGTATTTGCAGGTGACCTTGGAGGTCAGAAGTATCAGATCCCCTGGAGCTGGAGTTATAAGCAGTTGTGAACCATTTTTCATGGGTGCTGGGAACTAAATTCAGGTCCTCCGCAAGAACAGCTAGACCTGTTATTTGCTGAGTCATCTCTCTACCACCCACTTTAATTTTTAAGAAATTAATGTTCTGTGTGTTTGTGCAGGCACATATGCACAAGGATGCATGTGTGAAGGTTAGAGGACAACTTTTGGAAGTCTGTTTTCTCCTTCTGCCTTTATGGTGAGTTTCAGGAATAAACTGATGGCTATCAGGCTTTCACAGCTGCAGGGCCATCTCACCAACCTCAAAGAATTTAGATTCTTATTTATGTACTTATTCTTTTGGATGGTGGAGATTAAACTCAGAGCTAGACAACCACTATACTATTGAACTGTATTCCAGCCCTGATTTGTTTGTTTGTTTGTTTTTCAAAACAGGGTTTCTCTGTGTAGACCTAGCTGTCCTAGAACTAACTCTTGCAGACCAGGCTGGCCTCAAACTCAGAGATCCACCTGCCTCTGCCTCCCGAGAGCCAGGATTAAAAAACGGTGTGTGCCACCACTGCCCAGCTCCAGCCCTGATTTTTAATTTATCTTTTTGAATCAGGATCTCATGTAACCAAGGCTAACCTTGGACTCCTGCCTCCACCTCTCAAATGCTGAAATTACAGTCATGTTCCTTTATGCCCATACTAATATGTAATTTATTTATTTTGGTTTATTTATTTTTGAGATAGCCTCTCTCTGTTACATACTAGCTGTACTGGAACTCAGTATGTAAGCCAGGCTAGCCTCAGACTCAAAAAGATTAGCCTGCTTCTGCCTTCCATGTAGCTAGGATTAAAGGTATGTGCTACTATTCCCAGACTGATCTTTATTTTTTTTAGATGAAGTACTTTGGGCCTTACATAAACATTTTAATAGCTAAGTAAAGATCTTTGCCATTCATAAATATACCTCATTCTCTAATAAAGTTGTCCCTCCATATCTGTGGGAATTAGTTCCAGGACACTTCTTTAATACTTAGATCTTCACAGGGCTCAAAGTCAGTGTAGTATTTGCATATGAAATATGCTCATTTTCCTGTGTACCTTGTCATCCTTCAGTTACTTGTAATTCCTGTACAATATAAACACTGTATAAATAATTGTTTTGCTGTATTTAAGAAACAATGACAAGAAATATCCATATACACATTTAGTAAACTTAGTTTCTGTCTCCTGTTTTTGAGTGGGGTTAAAGTTGAACTCACTGTTTAGCCAAAGACCACTGAACAACTGATCCCTCCTGCCTTTACTTGCCGAGGGAGGCTTGAATGATTAGACTTCACCACTGTATCTGGCATAAGTAAAGTTATGATTACAACATGCCAGGTACTTTACAAGAATAATTATGTTTCATAGAGGAGCCCTTCACTTTATCTTTGGTGCTGTCACTTAAGATACAATTAAGAAGCTTGGAATAGGGGCTAGAGAGGTTGTTCCTGGGATATGAGAACATGATGCTCTTGCATGTTCTTGAGTTCAGTTCACAGCACCTAAGTCAGAAAGCTTATGAGCACATGTAACTCCAACTTCAGGGCCTCTAATAGCTGCTTCTGGCCTCTGTAGGCACCTGCATGCATATTCACAAACCCATACTCAGACATAGTATACATAATTAAGTAAAATGCTTGGATAGTTCCTTCTTTTCTCTAAGAACCAATGAGGGGATGCTGGGAAGATGGCTCAGGATGGCACTGGCTGTGTAAGCATGTGACCCTTAGTTCATTGCATGTAAAACAGCCTATAATTTGAGAACTGAAGAGATGGAGACAGGCAGGTCCCTGTGGCTTACTGGCCATTCAGTCAGTCTATCTGAAATGAGTGAGTTACATAGTGGGCACCAGAATAGCCAGGGAAATGTAGAAAGACCCTGTCTAAAAAAAAAAGAGAGAGAGAGAGAAAGGAAGGAAACAAATAAATCCAAGTTAAATATTCAAGAAAATATTCAAATAATGTTTGTTTTTTAACCATTGTCAGTGGATGTTTATTAAGAACTTCTCATGCTTAAAGCAGTAGGAAAATGCAGATAATGTATAAGAAATGACCCATACTAAGGAGTTTGGAGACATCTTCATAGAGATATGGAAGGTTGAATTAGGATTGTATGATGGAAATAATTTACATATGTGGAGAAAGAAAAGATATTTCATGTATTTGACTTTTATTAGATCCCACCCCAATCAACTATACTCTGTCTTCTTTGTTAGTAAGATATCTTTTTCACATACTTGTTTTGAAAACTAGCCTTTATTCTTTACATACTGTTAGTCAGCTTTTTAGTATTGTTGTAAAAAAGTTGAAATAATTAAGGAATAAAGCCTTACTTTTAGGGGTTTCTAGGTTCTACTGCTGGGAGTTGAGGAGGAACAGAACACAAAGCTTTGGGCCTCTGGAGAAATCAGTCATGACAAGAAATGGTAGTGGAACAGAATGTTCATCTCAAGGCCAGAAATGAGAAAGAGTAGGGGGTAGGGTTGTCACAGTTCCCCAGTGACCTAAGAACTTTCTCAGTGTGCCTTGGATTCTTTTCTTGAGTGCTAGAGTAGCATTTCTCCATCACCGGGTCACCTTCCCACCCAGTAACTTAGGTATTTTTTAAGTGTAGTATGATTGACATCTTTTCAGTCATTTATGAAAAGTTCAAATTAGTTTAGGTTCTCTCCCTATTGTATTCAAGAGTTTTAGAGTTCTGTCATTGCTCGTTAGAAAGTATTAGTCAGGCTTGGTAGTGCACATCTTTAATCCCAGCACTAGGGAGGCAGAGGCAAGTGGATCTCTGAGTTCAAGGCCAGCCTGGTCTACATAGTGAGTTCAGGATATATAGAGATTATATCTCAAAAAAACAAAAGCAAAAAATAACAAAAAATGTTTTTATTGTAGTAAGGTGTTTAACAGATGGTACTCTGACTAACACAGTTGTCTTACCTTCTAAAAGAATATAGAACGATATTTTCCAGCCTTAAAAAGGAAGACAAGCCTTCTGAGACAAAATGAAGTACAAAGGAAACCAGTTGCAGTTCTCAAGAGACCTAACCAGTTAAATAGAAAGTAAGTACTCAAATAGAAGAGAAGAATGGATTATCTGGAAATATCTGTGTTAGTTACTTGTCTTCTTGTTGTGCCAAAAGATCTGATGAAAGCTGGCTAGAGATTTATTTGTTGTAAATGCTGTTTTGTTTTGTTTAATGAACTTACTCTGTTTATTGGGTATGAAAAGAATCTTATGTAGCCTGAGCTGCCCCTCCCCTGCTGTGACTGACTGTACAGCCTGTGCTGTCAAGGAAAATAGGATAGCAGCATCGCTTTGCATTCCCATTGGACTAGGTACCTCCCAGATAGCTGTTTCCTGCAGAGTGTGATGTGTGTTTCATTCATTTGCTTCTTTTCCAGAGTGTGGAAAGTCTACAGTGTAGAAAGCCTTTAGCCTGCCAGTTAATTTGAAAACTCCCCCTGGGCTGGGCTGTGCACACCCTGCCAAACTGTGTTATATTCTGTACTGTGTACAATAAAGAAGTTTGCTTTCCTTTAAAAAAAAAAAGATCTGATGAAAACAACTTGAGGAGGGTTTTGTTTTAGGTAATAGTTGATCATGGCAGGAAAGGTGTGGCAGCAAGAACAGGTTGGTGACCGTGTCCACAGACATGAAACAGATGAGTGAGTCATTTGCTCAGCTCACTTTCCTTTTTCTTACATTTTTGGTTTTGAGCCTAGCCTTTACTGGAGAGTCATTACTGAGCCATCTCTCCAGCCCTCACTTTCCTTTTTCCCCAACTTATGGAATGTGCCTTAATTACTATTCTGTTGCTGTGAAGAGACACCATGGCCAAGACAATTTATAGAAGAGTTTATTTGGGACTTAGCATTTCAAAGTCCATGACCATCATGGTGGGGAGCATGGTAGCAGGTAGATGTGACTCTGGAACAGTGGCTGAGAGCTCACATCTTGATCCACAAGTAGGAGGTGAAGAGAAAGAGCACTGGGAAGTCTTTTGAGACTTCAGAACCCACCCCAAGTGACCTTCCCTCCACCAAGGCCAAACTTCCTAATCCTTCCCCAACAGTTCTACCAACTGGGAACCAAGTGTTCAAGTGTATGAGCCTTGGGGGCCATTCTTACTCAAACCACCACAGAATGGTGTCTTCTCTCTATGTTGGATGTATTTTCCTACTTCAGTTCGATCTAAATATTCCTTCACAGACATGTCCAGAGATTTCTTTCCATAGTGATTATAAATCCTGCCAGGTTGCCAATCAAAATACTTTCTTGGATAGATGTTTAGAAGAATGGATTTACAGTGATTCCTTCTATGTCATTTCAGTGTAGTTACTTGGTGTGGTCTGGAGTGTAGCTCAGTGTACTTAGCTAGCATGTGGGAGGCCCAGGGTTCCGTCCCTAACACTGTGGGGGACAGAAAATAAAGATACTTGAAATATCTGTCTGAAATCTAAGATGGAAGGCATTCTGTAGTAACTTTCTTATTTCTTAGACACAATAATATTAAGGATTTCAATTAATGCAAACTTTTAAAAAAGTATTACTTTTTAATTGTGTGTATACATGGGTGCCATGATGCATATGGGGAGGTCAAAGAACAACTTAAGGGCACTGGTTCTTTCTTTCTACCGTGTGGGTTGCAAGGAACCAGCTTGGGTTGTCAGGATTGGTGGCAAGCGCGTTTACCTGATGAGCTCTCTCTGGACTTCACTCTGCTTATTTACCTCCCTTAACATATAAAATAAAATTGTAAAAAGTAGTCATTTTAGTGAAAATCCTAGCACTTGGATAATAGTTACTCACAATTAGAAATTATGAAAGGTGAATTGATTATTTTCAGCCTTGACTCTTAAAATACTGAAGCATAATATGGATTATTTGGGGGATTGGCAAGCTTTCTAGAAATTTACATAAATATTTCTGGGTTTTATTTGTTTTTCCTTTTCTTTTTTTTTAAAGATAGTCTTGTTGTATAGCCTTGTAACCATGTAGATCAAACTGTCCTTCTGCCTCTGCCTTCCAGGTGCTGGGATTCAGGTGTATACCACCAGCCTAGGATGCATAGATACTTTTTAAATTTAAACTGCTTTTACACTGAATTTAAGATCATTAAAAAAAATACTAAAATTTTTGAATTGTTAAAAGACTTTCTGTTCTCTCTAAAGGATGAAGTAATCAGAAAGGCAGCTGGTAATTTATAAAGTTGTTTAATTATTTGAATTTCAAATGCTGTTATTTATCTCTCATAAAATACAATTTATGATAACGACTTCATATATGTATATGCAGTTTTACCTAATGATCATTTTTGGAAATCATTTGGTGGTATCTTTTGTGAAAGGGGGTCCTTTGTAATTTATATAAGATTTCTGTGTTAATTGTTGCATTTGAACCTCTGATGGTTAGAACTGATATTTAGGTAGCCTTGTAAGTACTTGATTATGTAGTAGGTAATTATGAAATTTAATGGTAAAAACCAAATCGAATATAATTGTGTTGTTCTACTTGGAGGTAGTGGCACACAGCACTGCGGAGGCAGAGACAGATGGATCTCTGTGAATTTGAGACCAGCCTGATCTACAAGAGCTAGTTTCAGGACAGGCTCCAAAGCTACTGAGAAACCCTGTCTCGAAAAACCAAAAATAATAATACTAATAATTGTGTTGTTCCGTGTATGGAAGAATTAAAAAGTAGAAGTGTAACTTGAAACTTTTATCATTCATTACATGTGTGCATGTCATGTGTGGAGGTGAGAGGACAAGTTTGAGGAGTTGTTTTTTTCCTTTTGCCTCATGTGAGTTTTAGGGATCAAACTCAAGTTCTCAGGTTTGCACAGCAAGTGTGTTTTCCTGCTGAGGCATCTTGCTGGCCCTGGCTGTCCTGTAACTCAGCTTTGTAGAATAGGCTGACCTCGAACTCAAGAGATCTGTCTCCCAAATGCTGGGATTAAAGACATGCTCCACCACCACCAGATTCCAAATCCTTTTTATAAAGATTTAGTTTTGTTTTGTGTGTATGGTATTTCACCTCCATGTATGTCATGAATCACATGTTTGCAGTGCCCACAGAGGTCAGAAAGGCATGCTGGATCCCCTGGAACAGGAGTTACAAATGGTTGTGAGCTGCTGTGTGGGTGCTGGGAGTCAAATCCAGGTCCCTTGGAAAGAGCAGCCAGTGCTCTTAGCTGTTGAGCCCTCTCTCCAGCCACACGTCTTTATTTGTGTTTTCAGACTGACTATGAGTGTATTTAGGTATGATTTTCTTTGAACTAATCTTGTAAATTGTAATTTAAGAAACAAAATTTAGGGATAGGAAATAGCACTAAAATGTAATTTTGTAAATGTCTTTAGAAGTTATGAAATATTAGAGAGCAAACTATTTGGGAAATAGATTAGTTCAGAACCAAGCTGCTATGTGGTATATTGCAGAGGGAAATATTTGTAAATCAAATTTAGCAACTTTGTAAGAAAGCAAATTGGGGTCTATTATGTGCTTATCAGATTTTAAGCTTTTGAGTTTTAACTGTTTTGCTTATTTTTTCTCAAGGTATTTGAAAGCAAAGAGGCTGAGATTATTTATACATGTTTTTTGTTGCAGAAATACCATTCCAGCTAACTTTACCAGGAGCGGAAATAAACTAAGTCATCAGAAAGACACTCGTCAGGCAACTTTTCTTTTCAGAAGAGGCCTGAAGGTATTAAAAAGCACTGGTTGTGCTTCCTTTACTCCCAGTGGATCCTTTACTAATCATAAGCTTGGACTATTGTTGGGAGGGAGAAGTAGGTATTGATGTGAAAACAAGACATTAGGTTAGTTCTTTCTGTTAATAGATGTTTTTCCTATTCCCTGTCTTTTTATTGTTTGTATAGTGGCATCTTACAATAATTTAGCTTGCTTATTTACTAATAAACTTGGGTTTGCACTTGTTCTGTTCCAGGGGCCCCAACTGAGAATGTTGCTAACATGGAGCAGGCCCCTCCTGGGCTCATGTTCATGTTTATTTACCCTGGGTTGTAAAGCTACAGTGTATAAATAGCAATAGGATTGCTCTTAAGTCCTCTGTTTTCTATGAGATCTGCTGGGGTCTTGTTGTTTTTACTTACTTTTAGTTTCAGGGCCAGTTGTTTTCTGTGAGATCTGCTGGGGTTTTTGTTATTTTTATTTTCTTTTAGGTTCAGGCCCAGTTGAACACAGAACAACTGCTAGATGATGTGGTAGCAAAGAGAACTCGTCAGTAAGTTTCACCTTGTTTTTCTAAGATGTCTCTCTAAACTCGTAAGATTGCCATCTGTCTCAGTGTGCAAAAAATGGAGACACCCAAAATAAAACTCTTCCTGCAGTTGATAAATGGAACCCAGGACCCCATGTGCTAGAAAATCACTGAGCCACTTCTTTAGTCCCCAAATGATTCAGGTTTTCAGACTTCATTTAGTACTGAGTTACTAAGCTAATTCTTCACTATTTGTCCACTTTAAATGGTATAGATTTCTCTTTCTCTCTCCCTCTCCCTCCCTCCTTCCCTCCCTCTCTTCTTGTCTCTCTTTGTCTCTTTCTCTGAACTTTGTTTTATTCAAATGAGCCTGTTTAGGGAGTGTCTAGAATAGAATCCCAAAAAGCTTTTAGAAAATTTATAAAAACGTAAAAGCACAGTAGAATTTTTTCTCCCTGCAACCCTGTAAAAAGTCTTTTAAAAGTCATCTTCTGTCCATTTTTCTTCCCAAGTGTGACTTGTATGCTGCTCCAATTCTACTAAAGTTACCAGAATTTGGAATTTTTTAAAGATTTATTTATTTTTATGTGCGTTGGTGTTTTGCCTGCGTGTGTGTCTGTGTAAGGGTGCCAGATCCCCTAGAACTGGAGTTCCAGGTAGTTGTGAGCTGCCATGTGGGTGATGGGCATTGAACGCAGATCCTCTAGAGGAGCAGCCACTGAGCTATTTCTCCAGCCCCCGAATTTGGAATTAAAAGAAAAAAGAAGTTAAGTTTTTGTAAAATAAAATGTAAAGGTGGTCACGGTCCAGATGTAATGATAACTACAATGAAGTGTGATTTTGAGCAGCCAGCATAGTAAATTATTTGAACCTAATGCTGGCAGTATCCTTTAGCCCAGGAAACAGGAACCAAAAACTACAGGAAGAAAATAATAATCATAGCCTATAAATAATAATCATAGCCTGTGTGTGCTTCTTCAATGAACATTTATGTAATAGTGGTATTATATACTGTTTATTTATGCTGGGAGAGGGTCTTGTGTGACTCAGCCTCAAATTCAATGACATCTGACCTAAGTCTTAAACTGCTTATCTTCCTGCCTGCATCTCTCAAGTGCTGGAATTACATGTGTGTGCCAGTATGCATTATTTATGTGTTTTGAGCTTTGAGAGTAAAACATAGCTAGAACAAAAGATAGTTTGGGAAAAATATAATGAAAGTGTACCAGATTTTGGCTAACATAAATATAGAGGTAGGGCTGGCACTATTGTGGCATCCACCTGTAATCCCAGTGTTTTGAAGGCTGACACGAGAAGATTCCAAGTTCAAGACTAGCCTAGACAATATAGTGAGACCCAATGAGAGGAGAAGGAGGAGTGGAAAATACAAGGTGGGAAAGAAGTAGAGAGGCTACTAAACTTCCATACAAGCAGACAGAAATCAGATGCCATTGGAAGAACTGGAATTTTAAATTACAATGAAAAGTAAAATAATGAGAGACTGCTAGTTTCATTAGACACTCCTCTGCATTTAGTTTTTTTTAATGTCTGTATATTTATTACATTGAAAAACATCTCACAAATTCAGGTTTGCAGTTCCTACACCTAATATGTTGGTGCATTAACTACATCCTGGTAGGGTCCAGCATATCTCTTGTGTATGTGGGGGGGGGGGAGGGAGAGGAGAGAGAGAGAGAGAAAGATCTAAAAAATGAGTAGCTCCTTTGCAGATGTGTAGTTTAGAGCTGAGAGTTCATTTTGGTAGTGGAACACTTGGCTGGTACACTAAGACAGTTGTGGGCAGAGGCGGGATGGATGAGTATCTTCCATTGGGATGCACTGTAAGATTTACAAGTTTGCATTTTAAGAAAAATTTGAATCCTAGATGGCGTACTTCTACCACAAATGGAGGAATTTTGACTGTATCCATTGACAACCCTGGAGCAGTACAGTGTCCAGTGTAAGTCTTTTTCTTCCTTCCCTTCCTTCAAAAATTGTAACCTCTTACATGTAATAGGAAAATGAAAAATATTGGACTTGTGCTCAGAGTATACTGTCTAAATCAGGATAAAATAAGATGCAAGGAAAAAGAATAATTGTGACACTAACCAGGCCTTTAATCCCAATACTTGGGAAGCTAAGACAGGAGGATTACCATGTGTTCTAAGACCAGGTTTAGATACATAGTGAGTTCAAGGTTATCTTGGGCTAACCATTTCACTATATGTATTACACTAAAAAGCATAGGTTAGTTTAATTTAAGGACCATGACTTAAAAATCATCAATCATTTAACTTGTTAAAAATGTTGTGTAGATAGGGCTGGAGAGGGAGGTGACTCGATATTCTTGCATAGGTTCTGAATTCAGTTCCCAGCATCCACAAGGCATATCACAAGCATCTGTAACTTGAATCTCAGGGGCCCCAACACCCTCTCCGTGGCTTTCTGGTCGCTGCACACTTGGGGTGCATGTTGAATACATGGAGGTAAGCACTCACATAAAATGAAAAAAAAACTTTAAAAAATTCGTTATACTTAAAAAGGTATTCTAGGAACAGTCATAAATTTTGGTAGAGTAGTCCATCAAGAGCTAACACGGTATTTTTACTGTTAGAGAGCACAATGTAATAGTTGTAATTTACTTGAACTTGTGTAAGGACATTTTGAGTAATTTTATCTGGTAAACTAATTGAAACTTTTTTTTTGCTAGACCTCAGAAACCACGATTAGCTCGTACTGCTGTGCCCTCATTCTTAACAAAAAGAGAGCAGTCTGATGTTAAGAAAGTTCCTAAAGGTGTCCCTCTACAGTTTGACATAAATAGTGTGGGGAAACAGGTAAAAAACAATTTCTGTATTTCTTTGGACAGTCTTCTGATAACCAACAATATTTTACAGCAAATTTAATGGGGTGGCCTAACCCTGCCCCCAACCCCTAGGCAGCTGCTAATCTGTTTTTTGTCTCATAGATTGCCTGCTTTGACATTTTATTTAAATCAGATCTTGTAATATATGATCTTTGTTACTGGCATCTTACACTTCCATAATTTATTTAAAGTTTCATCCATATTAGCATTTTCTTTTATTATTTGAGTAGTGTTCATCGCGTATATATGTCACATGTTATGTCGTCTTTAATTAGTTGTAAGTTTTTGTGTTCTTTGTCTACTATAAATAATTCTGTTTTGTTAGTTTTTATGTTAGCATGTTTTCTTTTTTCTTTCTTCCTTTCTTTTTTTTAAGTGCCATGGCTATATTTGATATTTTGGTAGACTGTATGCTAACTCCACATTTAACCTTTTTAGGAACTACCAAGCTGTTTCCCAAAGAGGTGGCTATGGTCTTTTCTATTACTATAGCATATGTGGGGTTTCTAAACTTCTCCACATTCCTGTCAACATTTGTTGTCATCTGTCACTTTGAGTATAGTGACAAGTAAGTGTAAAGCTGATATCTCACTATGGTTTTTGACAGTTTGTATATTGTTGTATTCTTTGATCTTGTTAAGTTTACTTAACTTTAGGGGCCTAGAGAGATGACTTAGTGGTTAAAAACATGGACTGTTCTCCTATAGGTCCCAAGTTCAATTCTCAGCACCCACATGGCTTCTTACAACCATTTATAATGGGATCTTATGCCTTCTTCTGGTATGCATACATACATGCAAACAAAGTGCCCACAATCTTAAAATATATAAATAAATTTTTAAATGATAAAAATTAAAACACCTTGATTGATCAACTACTTTTTAAAAAAGTACTGATTTTATAGTCAATCTCTGGATTTCTTAGGGGTTTTCTATATAAATACTTGTTTATTCTCTAATACTTTTCCAGTGTTAAAACACTTTTTCTTCTTATAATGGTTAGCACATTGACTAGTGTTGAATAGGCATAGTAGGACCAATGTGCTTGCTGAGTTCCAAAGCCTGAGGAAAGCATTAAAAGGTTAACCATGGGTGATGGTGGCACACACCTTAGCACTTGGGAGGCAGAGGCAGGTGGATCTCTGTGAGTTCAAGACCAGCCTGGTCTACAAGAGCTAGCTAGTTCCAGGACAGCCTGTCTCGAAAGTGTGTGTGTGTGTGTGTGTGTGTGTGTGTGTGTGTGTGTGTGTGTGTCCCGCGAAAAAAAAGGTTAATCATGTGTGCAATACTGTTAACAGTTGTTTACAGATCTTCATACCCTTCATACCTAAGTTTGCTAGCTAGTTCCAGGACAGCCTGTCTCGAAAGTGTGTGTGTGTGTGTGTCCCGTGCCAAAAAAAGGTTAACCATGTGTGCAATACTGTTGTTTACAGATCTTCATACCTAAGTTTGCCCACTGTTTTGAGTTTGAACTCAAAAGTATAACTTTGCCTTTTCCCCTTTTTCTTCAGATACTGACCAATACCAATCGTTCTTGCTGCATCACTTGGTTCCTTCTCGCTCTTTGCTCTGAAAACACCCCCTCCTCTTCTATAGTAGTTTTCAGGTCTCCATTGTGGACTCTCCATTTCCCTTCTCTGTCAGATGTTGGGAATTACAGCTTGCCTGCCTGTAGTTTTTCCTATCAAACTCAAAATAGTTCTTAAATTTAAATACATATCTCTGCTGGCTTTAAGTTTATTGTAGATCCTCTTTATCAGATTGAGGGAGTTCCCATCTTACTAATTTTCTGAGTTTTTGCTATGAATTTATGTTGAATTTCATCATACACTTCAGTGGATGAAATGAGGAACTAAGGTCCTGTTATTTAATTAGAAGTATTGTGGGGGGGCCCACAGGACACAGACGGACTTGGTTTTGTTTAATGAGAAAGTACATGTTTATCATAGACCAAGTCCTTGGTACAGTCTCTAGCACCAAACATGGAAAAAAAGAGAAATGTTTTATTTTCTTTTGATCATATTCTTAATTTCTTTTCTGTTTGGAAGTATTTTGTTAGTTGTTAATCAAACCAGAGTTTTATTTGAATTTTTGTAGGGCACTCAGCTAAAGACTTCATTTTGAAATACTCAGAAATTAAAAATAACAGTAGTTCTATTATTTTTTTAAGTCATAGTCTCATACTATAGTCCAGGCTGGCTTCATACATGATTTTTCTTCCTGCATCAGCCTCTTGGGATATTAAAAGTAGGCTGCCATTTCTGGACAGAAAAAACTTTTTTGTTGCCCTTTTTTTGGGGGGGGGTTGGGGGCGAGACAGGGTCTCACTGTATATCTTTGGGCTAGCCTAGAACTTGGTAAAGATCAGGCTGGCTTCAGATTCATAGATTCACCTATCTTTGCTTCCTGAGTGCCAGATCAAAGGTGTATGCCAACACCATTTGAAGTAACTCTTTACCAAAGGAATCACTAGAATTTGTAACTGTTTGCAGAGCCACAAATCAATTCAGATAGAAATATCTTGGATGTCTGTTATAGACAATAGTAATAATAGCATGCATATGTTTACATAATATGCAATGTAGGCATTATAGTGACGGGAAAATAAGGATTCTTAGACTACGTAGTTTTAAGTTCTAGGGCTACTGATAGGGAACTTTTATGTATGCCTTATTTTTGTTAGAGTTAAATTATGTACACAATTCAAGATGTTACATATGGCTATTACTAATTACTATTAATCTTTAAATCACGTATAAAGAAAATGGTTTTTTTCAGTCAACTTAATTTTTCCCTCTTTTTCTGCAGACAGGGATGACGTTGAATGAACGATTTGGGATATTGAAAGAACAAAGAGCCACTCTTGCATTCAACAAAGGAGGAAGCCGCTTTGTAACTGTGGGATAGATCCACGGCAAAGGAACTCTTTAGTGATGACTGTTTGAAAAGTTGAATTGCTTGAAGAGTTCGTCAGAGAAGTTCAAGAAACTTTACTTCAGAATATTCACAAGCCTAAAATAACTTTATTTTTGAAGGTTTTTTTTAATGTATAAATAATGCCCTGAAAGAATAACAGGGAATATACCTATCTGTTCTTAAAGATTTCATGGTTGGCCCAAACAAAGCAATTCTTTATTGACTTCTTAGATTCCTCATGAAGCAGAAGGAAGACAGAAAGATAGAAATGATTATTTTTTATGAGTGTGGTATTTAGGATCTCATCACATTTGTCCAGTTTGTAGACTTTTGCCATGGTTAATCTTAAACTTCAGAAATAAGAGTACATCCCTGTGTTGTTGTCACTTATCATTAATGTGCTGAGGTAATAAGTACAGTTGCCTTTTTGTCATTAGTGGTACTTTTTAAACTATAGGAGAATTTCAGTTTTGGCTTTTAAGATTTATGGAAGTACTTAGAACTTGGCTTGTTTTTTTCAGTTATTGTTGGATTAAACCCCCTGAGTTCTAAGCATTTAGTGTTGAACTTTTAATAAGAATGTGGCTCTCAGAACTAGTCTCAGCTCACAACGTGTCAGGGCTGGAAATGCTTATTTACAAAATTATCTGGCAGGGCCTTGCAGGAGATGCTCAATACAAACCCTCATAGTTTGTCTTTAGTAAATGAAGAAGACATAAAAAGTAGTAGCAAATCAAAGGATTGGAAACAATAAAAAATAAAAACCTGGGTTATAGTTATACTCTTGATTTAGTGCTGTCTTGAGTTTAGGGCCCACAGATACTTAAAAGAATTTCACTTTTTAAAATGAATAGAATCCTTGGGTATTTTGACAGTACACTTACCAGACATAAAGTCCTTTGCTTCATATTCAAAAGTTTTTTTTTAAAGTTAGATAAGTTCAATAATTTACAACTCCCCCAAACAAAAATCTACTTGTCCGTGTCAGAAAGAAAAAGAAAAGTTATAATGAAGTTACACTTAACTGTACACGTTCACTGTGTTTCTTTCCACCACCACCACCCTTTTTTTTTTTTTTTTTTTTTTTTTTTGAGACAGGGTTTCTCTGTAGCTTTGGTGCCTGTCCTGGAATTCACTCTGAAGGCTAGGCTGGCCTCGAACTCAGCAGAGATCTTCCTGTCTCTGTCTCCCAAGTGCTGAGATTGAAGGTGTGAACCACCACCACCCGGCTCACTGTTTCTTGTTACTCAAAATTCAGGCATTATAGAGAGAAAGGGCTTTTCTCTTACTCTGGAGGTCTGCTATGCCAAGTGCTGAGAGTCCTCACATAGTTGTACAATTTGTATTACAGTAAAATGCCAAAATGCAGTGACATATTCCAGCTACAGATTATCAAGAATGGTCATTTTGAAGCTTGACTTTTTGTTTTGCTGTGATTTCAAGTCTCCGAGTGTTTAAGCATCTCTGATGTGATTTCTCCTGTAAAACGAGACAAAGTACTATGCTTCCTGCCCGCCTTCATTGCACCCTAGACTCCATTGTCTTTGATGCTCTTTGAATTTATTACTGGCTTATTCTAGTTATGGAAAATCAGCAACAATGTCATGCTTATACCAAAGATCCAAATCTGATCCTCAATGTCTGTTATTTGCTAGTACTTCTACTTGATAAGGGATTTTTGGAAGCCAATCATAGAACTTGAAAATAAACTAGTTTCTCCTTAGCTGTGATGCTTTTCATTGAGGCCAAGGACTCATTATAAAACATTTTTGCCAATATGGATATTTATATTTGGTTCAGGAACAAAACATTTTAGAGTGGTTTGCTGGTAGCTTATTTTAAAGCAAAGGAAAAACAACTGAGCATGAACACTATCTTTGGAACAATTTGTGAAAATACAATATAAAAATCTTTGTTTCCTGTTGTTTTGAATGTTATTATACAGAGGTATTAGTAATTCCATTTTTTGGAAAATCTTAAAAATTGCCCAAATGTTGACACTAAGTACATTTGAAAAACAATGTCTTTGGTGTAGTAAATGTTTGCTCTTCATGCATCTGTAATTTAATTTTCTTTCAAAGTGAATTTTGCCTTTGATACAACTAAGTTAAAACTCTTGAGTGCTAACATGTTGTATATAAACAAAACAATATGCTTTGTTGAAGGAAAATTCCCTTTCTTGGAATGTGGTTGTGGTCATCCTTGTTCAGTTTTTGAAGCCTTTTTTTTTTTTTAATTTAAACAGGGTGCAACTTAAATTTTCCTTTGCATCAAGGTGTATGTAAACATTGATGCAGTGCATCACAAAATGAAAGTTTGTATTTAGTGAGGAGGTGCTTTACACTGTACTTTCTGGTGTTTTTTGGAAAAGTTACATTAGATTTATTCTGAAGCTGTTCATTTTTGACAAATAAAATGTAACAGGTTTCACATGAGTTATTCTGAGCTATAAAGATTGAGTTGTGGTTTTTAGCTTGTTCTGTGTTACAAAGCATTTTGCAGTGATTATACTTGTGATTTCTAAGAATTTGGAGTGAAATCTGCATTCTTGGTGTCCCTCTAACCACCTTTTGACCATTTCATGCATAGGTAACATGGGGTTCCAACATAAGGAAACTGAGGGGAACTAAAGCTAGTCAAATTGTTAATAGCACAGAGCGTGAAACCAGGTGAGCCTTTAGAGATATCTTCGTTAGCCCCCTTTTGACATCTTAGCAAAGTGAGAACCATGTTTTAAGCATTCATGTTTCTAGCCTCACATCTTAACAATTCTCAGTGGATAATCAACCATTTCCCACATAAACAGTAGCTTTATGGTATTTAACATGTCAGATATCTAAAAATCTGTAATAGCCCTATCTCAACATTTGTGGCATGTTCAGAAAATCTGTTCTTCTAATTATAATTCCTACTTTATTTTTGAAGTTACTGAAGCTCATTAGGAAAAGCCAATGTTTCCAGCCTATACCAAGAAGAAGATTGCTTATTCCAGACCCCATCTCAAAAAAACAAATACACCAAGGAAAAAGACTGGTGTTCTAATCTGACACATATTTTTAAACACACACCAACTTTTCACTTCATTGATTATCAAATTATAAAATACTTTAAGAAACATACATGAGTTGTTCTCAGTTGTTTAGTTGCTATCTGTAATGTAATTCACACAGTATATGCAATTTGGAGCTGTTTTACTAAGGAGATTAGAAAAAATAGTTCACTTGTCACTACAAAGAATTCCATATATTCCAAATGCAGGCAATATTAAAGCAAAAAAGTGCTTACTCATCTGATCAGTAGACCTTTCCCATTTATTCGGAATTATTTATTTTGCCTCTATGAAAATCTTAGTTGAAGATGGTGATTCTATTTGGAGCTAGTGGTTTGGGTGGGATTGGTGTTACAGTCAGTCTCTATCTCCCTTTTCTTTTCTTCCTCCTCCCCTTCTCTCCATCTCCCCCTTCCTCTCCAGGCTATGCATCACATTGTTACGCTTCAGCATTCAGAGAACTAAGTTTACAGGTATATGCCACACTACCCAGTCTGTTACATTTCAAAGACTGATTTGTGTGTTTGTGTGCCTACATGTATGAATATACACTGTATGTGATGGTGTCCATGGACGTACTCTCTCAACCCTCTTCAGCCCCGTTGACATTTCAGGATGGATACTTCAGTAAACACCAAGCATTTGTGAAAAGAATTTTGGAAACTATAAAGATTGGCTTGGAAATTGTAAACTTCTACGTATACTCACATGAGGTATACTAATGTGTATATACTATGCTGAAGATGAATAGGAAGCTATTTATTTAGTGTATACAGCCATTAATGTCTACTTTACCCCTGAACCATTTATCCCCTTACCGCTAATAAGAAACTAGCATTAAACTTGGTTGTATAAATGTTTTTTTAATTAATCAGTCCTTATTAAAGGAATAAGAAAGGCAAGTGTGATGGCGCACACCTGTGATCCCAGTACTAGGGAGACAGAGGCAGTAAGGTCACTGCAGGTCCCAGTTTGAGTTCCAGGCCAGACAACCAGACTCGTCTCAGGAAAACCAAAACTAAAAACAAAATGGCCAAACATTGTTTAATATTCACCAAGTCAGTTTCCTAAATTTAAAGAGGATTCAATACATCAAGTTTTTAAACTTAAGGAATACCCACAATGAATTTTTAAATGACTCTTTTCAAAGTTATTGAAATTGGACTGAAATTTGCCTCTAGTATCGAATGAGTTAAGTTTTAGCCTATAAAGTAAACAGGAAGAAGGGGCGTCTGGCCACTCCTAAGACTGAATAGTCCTCTACTGCCTTTTGTTCAGTTTCTCCTTAGAATGGTAGTTAGTTGATTTCTGTATCCCTTTTGACCAGAACCTTTTCACAGCTCTTTAGTTCTTCACTAAAGTTACGAACTCTCCACAAAGACCCCATTTCTTACAATATGGTGCCATTTTATGAAGACTGAGGAGCTGGGTTTGATAGTGCATGTCTATAGTCTTAGCACTCAGGGAGCTGAGGCAGGAAAATCAAAGAGTTTGAAGCCAGCCTGAGCTACATAGGTAAGTGTCTCAGATTTAAAAAACAACAACAACAAGGTGAGAACTCTCCACATTGTGTATTTACTTCATAGTTGAAATCCCAAGTCTTTACACATCTCAAAAACCTCTCTTTGATCTCAAATCCTTTAACAACTTAAAAACTTTTTTTTTAAAGACTGTGTGTTGCCTGAGTTTACATGTCTGTATCGTTCCTGGTGCTTCCCAAAGTCACAAGAGGATATTGGACCCCCTGGAGCTAGAGTTGTGAGCCCATGTGGGAGCTAGAACTGAACCCAGATTCTCTGCCAGAGCAACAGGTTCTAACCAGTGAGCCAACAGTGCAACTCAGACTTCATTTTACATACTGTGCATGGTGTATGTTCTCACATGTGCACATGTGAGTGTCACACGTATCACAAAGGACATGTGGAAATCAGAAGATAACTTGCTTTGTGGAGACTTCTTTGCTTTTGGGAATCAAATTCACGTGGTCAGGTTGTTGTTAAGTACCTTTGCTCCCAGCTGGGCGTTGGCGGTGCATGCCTTTAATCCCAGCACTCGGGAGGCAGAGGCAGGTGGATCTCTGTGAGTTCAAGGCCAGCCTGGTCTACTGAGTGAGTTCCAGGACAGCCTCGAAAAACCAAAAAAAAAAAAAAAAAAAAAAAGGACCTTTGCTTCCTGAGCTGTCTCGCTGGCCTAAATATTTTATTTTAAATGGATACATTTTTTTGAGATAACATCTCACTGTTGTCTGATACAGGATTTAAATTCCTGTGCCTTTGTTCTTTCTTTCATTAGCAGCTTGACTGAGGCAGGATCCCACTAGCTCTCTTAGACTGACAAGTTCCTGTTCTTGCTTCCCCCTTCTTTGCACTCCCCGTTTCCAAATAACTTTAAAATAACGTTTTATGTATGCATGGAGAATGTATGTGCTCAGAGGCCAGGTGAAGATGTCAAGTATCCTGCTTTATCACTCTTGAAATACAGTCTCTGAACCAGCAGGTAGACTGGCACCTGGCGACTCTGATGTTTCCACTCTCCACCCTGCTGGACTTATAACTCAGATGCTACCACACCAGGATTCCTTACCTGAATGCTGGAGATAAGAACTAGGGTCCTTGTGTTTATGTAGCTGTAGCAAGGAACTCTACCCACAGAGCCATCTTCCCAGGCCTCACATTCTTTTTTTCTTTTTTTGAGACATTTTCTCACATAATAGTGTATGTGTAGCATCTTCATTTCTCCCCATATCCACAGACCTTTTAATTCGTTTGTTTTGGCTTCCAGCTATCTACAGACTTTCTTATCTGTTCTGAAAAATTTTAATTTCCCCTTCTACATTCTCTCTGGTGTTAATACATTATCTACTTCTCTTGCTTCCCACACTTCTTTATTACTGTTCTATATGATCAGTCTCCTTTCCCCTCATATCTTCAAGTTTAATTCACTAATGACTTCAAGTCAAGTCAAACAGACTAGCCTCAATCTAACATATCTGATCAGTCCAGGATTATCATAGTATGTTGAGATTTCAGTGGAGTGTACATATCGGTAGAAAAATGGCCATATTACTAAGAATTTGTCAGAATTCTTGCAGATAGAAATGGCAATGGTGCATTTGGAAACGCACATCGACAGTCTTGTAGGCTTATGTAGTTTATGTGTGTGATGTGTGAGTGAGCACACACAAGTCAGAGAGTAGTCCGTTCTCCCCTTCCATCTTGGGGTCTGCGAATTAAACTCAACTCAAGTTGTATGACAAGCTTTTTCCATCAATGAGCCATGTTGCCAGTCCAGTTTAATCTTTATTTCAAGAGAGGTATCCCTTTGTAGTTAGGCTGACCTGGATCCTCCTGCTTCAGTTTCTCAGGTTCCAGAATTACAAGCATGTGCTACCATGCCTGGATAGCTTAGTATCTTTCAAAGAACAACCAAATTTCAGAAAGAACAGAAAATACATATATTGGATAAACATTAATTGACAAAGACTACACATTATTTGCCATGAAGTGACATTAATAGGCAATAATTTATTGTAGGACTAGTTCCAAAGAAACTAGAATGTCACATAATGAAACACCAGGCATGGTATCAGATATCATATACTTTGTATTTTCTCAGGGCTCAGAAGGCCAAGGCCAACCTGAGCTACATGGGGACTCTTATCTAGAAAAGAAAAAGAGAAAAAAAAAAAGGTTCATAGAGCAGTTCTCTGAGCAGCAGTTACTAATCAACTTTGTTATTGAAACATTTTTACAACTTCTTGAACTTAGAAACTCCGGAAAGTGCTTGTCTGGGCTTTCTGAAGTTGGTCCTTTAATAACCTCTCACACCTCGTATTTTCTTTCATGTTCTGCTATGGAGTTTCTCATTTGTGTCTTAATGCTCTTACATGCTTCAAAATACGTGTTTACTCGTCTTCTATTATGGAATTTCGCTCTCTGTCATCCCATGCTACTTGATAAATTCTCCAGGTTTGGTTCAAAACCTCATTCATTCTTGAGAGAGATCCGTTTGCTGTGAACTCTGGTAGATAACCCTCCCCTCTTCGTGCTCAGCCCTCGACTATTACTGTAACTGGCCTCCTTGGATTCTGTAATAAGATTAGATAATTCTTTAGGAAAGATGCTGATTAGATAATTCTTTAGGAAAGATGCTTTATCTGGCAGCCCTATGTATTTTCCACAGCGAATTGAAGTTAATGGTAAGTGAAATTTAGATCACATACTAGGAATGGCTTGAGTTTAAAACAGATTTGGGGAAATAAAAGTGCAGTATTAGGGAGGTTTAACTAGTTTAAATTTGAGTGGTATTTTCACTTTTTCATTATAGAGTATTTTGTCTTTCTCAATTTTGGTTGCAGACTTGCATTTTAGACTTAAATATTCTGCTTGAGTCAATGATTAAAATCTGCACAAACAGCCATACCATTTAGACGCTTGTTTTCATTAAGAGCTCTTTCATAAAAAGTAGAATCTAAAATATATAGCAGTTTCAACAAGAATTAGGGACTTTGTAGCTGAATCTCGCACACAGTATTTTTCTCCACTCAAGAACTAATAGTATATCCACAAATCTCAATTTAGATCGTTTGGCGGTACCGTGACAATTTGGAGAGACAACTTGGGGCACATCGCTTGGAGTCTCCTCTAACTGCCCAAGATTCTGGCAGCAACAGTGCTAAGAATCTTTGCTGCTTAATGTAACCCACCACTGAGGGAGGAAGACAGGGTGCTGAGGAGCGTTGTTAAAGATGGTTTTTGTAGTGGCCTTTTAGAAATACCGCTGGGAATCCAGAATAGAGAGCTGCGATCTCCCTTTGGTTTCCCTGGAAAACCTCGGAGTTGGGCGGGGCACCAGTGCGTCTCTAGAGCTGTCCGGGGTCCCCGAGCCCCTTTCCCCGCCCACCCAGCGGTTCGGGTGGCGCATGCGCAGAGCCGGCCCAGAGAGTTGTCGGCTGGGAAATGGCGGCCGCGGGGTTGGTGGCTGTGGCAGCGGCTGCGGAATACTCTGGCCCAGTGGCGTCCGGGGGAAACCTCTCCGGTGCTAACTGTGGGCCGAGCCCTGGGGTAGGCCCTGGTCCTGGCCCTGGCTCGTGGAGCCGCTCGGTCGACCGAGCCCTGGAGGAGGCGGCGGTCACCGGGGTGCTGAGCCTGAGCGGCCGGAAACTGAGGGAGTTTCCCCGGGGAGCGGCCAACCATGACCTGACGGACACCACCCGGGCCGGTGAGCTAGACGCAGGCATCCCTGCTGCCCGGGACCGGCGGGATGGGGAGGGGCTCGTCGGGTGTGGGGGGCGTGTGGCGACCGGCCGGAGGCTCCCGGTGACCGGGGTAACGGGGGAGGCTGGCGGGACCGCGCACCCTCCCGGCCTGGCCAGACCCGGAGCCTGGGGTGCAGCGGCGCGCAGCATCACCTCCGAAGCCGGCCAGAGGCGACTGAGGGATGATCTTTCCTGAGTTGCTCTGAGAAATCCCGCTGTCAGAGTGCCCTGTAGACTTTTGCCCCACCCCGATGTCTGCAGGCCCTTTGGATTGGGGCTGCCAAATTGACTTTGGTATGAGTGTGGCCAGCATGTTCTTCCTTCACAGGACGGGTGACGGCTGGGTGCTACATTGTCAAAGAACCCATGTCCGTGCTGGCGTTTTCCCTGTGTGTGTGTGTGTGTGTGTGTGTGTGTGTGTGTGTGTGTGTGTGTGTGTGTGTGTGTGTAATGTAGACTCCAACGTTGTAACTTAACTCTCCGCCTCTGTTGATTTACCGAAAAGTTAGCGCATCTTTAGGTGCTCATTACTTTCGTCTTCCACTCTGACGTGTCCTCCAAGAAAACGTGAGAAGAAAAACTTCATAGGATATTGTCTACCTCATCTATAATTGCTTTTCCCTTTAAAAACATTACTTTGCCTTATATTGTTTAAGACAGGAAAGAGAATGGGAATTAAGTATTATTTGGTTTCCTTAGTTGTGGGAACAATGTATGGTGCCTGAAGTATTCAGCATACTATAATGTGTTCCTCTTGTGTTTAAAATATAGTTTCCTCAGCGAGTAGATTAAGAATTAAGTCGTTATGTCTTACATAAATATAAGGGGAGAGGTCCGTTACGAAGTGGTTTAAATATTTTGTGTTTATGTAGTTAGTGAATGTGCAGTATAATTGTGTCATCCTCATTGTGCTTAATTTTGAAATCTTAGAGTTAATACTTTCTTAAGTTCTGTAGTCATCAAAGATTGGTAATTATTACATATAATCACTCCTGTTGGAAAAATAAATAGACCTGGGCTGGTGAGATGGGTAAAAAGGCCCTTGCTGCCAAGCCTGACAGACAACCCAAGTTTGATCCCCAGAACCTAGGTAGTGAAAGGAGAGAACTAATTCCTGAAAGTTTTCTTCTGACTTACACACACACACACACACACACACACACAGAGAGAGAGAGAGAGAGAGAGAGAGAGAGAGAACGCACTAAACACTAAAAAAATTGAAAACAAAGATGTTAAATATCTGCTAAAAACTTATTTCCAAAGAAACTTTTGTTCTGCTTACTAAAGTTTATTTTGAGGAGTTGTTCTTTGAACATAATTTGCATTTATTTTCTTGTAGTCGATGGTACTAAACTTGCTAAGGTAAACATGAACAGTTACTTGAATTCTTATGTATGTGTTGGTAGACACCATCTAAAATTGTCATGCATACCCCTGCCTTCTTGAATCTGCTCAGGAGAAAGCTGATTGGCAGAGTGATTTTTATACTGAGGTGAGTCATATTAGTATTGCTACACTAAGCCTGAAGGTAAAGAAAAAGATGATTACAGGAGTCTATCTAGCTTTTTATCTTATCTGCTTTTCAGTAATTCTAGGAGCAACAGTCTGAGCCATCAAGAACTAAAAGTTTTATTGACAAAGAAAAGCACATTTATGAGAAATAACATTTAATCTCAAGGAAAGTTTTCCTTTTTGAGCTCTGGATTTTTATGTAAATTATTACTCATACTTCAGTGTTCTAGCTGCTGTATTAAATCAAAGGTTTTGTTGTTGTTTGACATTTTATCTAGTCAAAAGTAAAAAAAAAGAGATTAAAAAGATCATAAAGTATTTTATAACCTGTTAGACCAGATTCATTTCTAACTTTAGCAGCCCTTATAATTAGAACAAAAATAGTTTTAAAGCAGGCAGTTTAATGCCAATGGCATAATTTATTGAGTGTTCATTATTCATCTAAGTTATTCATCCTTAGATGTTTAAGCATATTGCCTTGCTAAATATATACAGCATGTGTATTATATATGATTACACCTAGTTTCATAGGAAAAATAACTCAGAGATACTCCTAATGCTGATAGACTTTTATCTGACTCTGTTTGCTCCACTGTATCAAGCAGCTTCTCTGTGCAGTGAGGCATTCTTTTTCTTCTTGTTGCAGATAGTGAAAGCAAAGCTTAGAGACATTTAATAATGTGCTCAAAGACCTGTAGCCAAAGGACAAAGGATGAGGGTGTTTGACATAACTCCAAAACCCATTCTGTTTTTGTAGGTAATTGATGAATCCAGACTAGCTACTTTTTAAGTGATTCGCATTTGTATGTGTGTCTCTGGTGTGGGTATGTGCATATGAATGCAGTGCAGGTGCTAAGGAGACCGACCACAAGAGGGCATCAGCTCCTCTGGAGGGTGAGCTACCTGCTGTAAGTGCTGGGAATCAATCCTGGTTCTCAGCAAGAGCAGTATGCACACTTCACAACTGAGTCATCTCTGCAGTCTGAGTTCAGACTTACAATAGTTAAAATCTATTTTGCTTAGAGTAGGAACTATAGAAAATTTAAAGCCATGTAAAATTGTATCAGAGCTGGCTCATAGATTGTTCTTTCATTAAGTATGGAATGTTCACAGTAGAATTGCTGCTTTCTAAGAATTTACATCCTAAGAAACAGACTTATTATTACCCATTCCATTTATAACTGGATATTATTAGAAATTTCTTGAGTTTCCTCCCCCTCTTTGTTTAAAAAGGTGGATACTGCTGGGCATGATGGCACATGTCTTTAGCCCCAGTACTCAGGAGACAGAGGCAGGAGGATTCTGTAAGTTCCAGAACAGCCAGGGCTACAAAGAGAAACTCTGTCTTGAAAAATAAATAAATAAAAGCAAAAAAATAAAGATAGCTGAGCTGTTAATACTTGAGGACCAAGAAGGTAATACTGTTTATTACTAGTAGCTGTGCTTGGCACTTACTGAGCCCATCAGGGCTGTCTGTGCTACTGTGACAGAATACAAGTGATACTTAGCTTAGGAGGAAATGGAGCTGGAGAGATAGCTCAGGAGTTAAGAGTACATACTGCTCTTGGAAGACTGTGTTTGGTTCCCAGCACCCACAGCAGGCAGTTTGTAACTGCCTATAACTCCAGCTCCAGGATATCTGAAACCTCTGGCCTCCTAAGGTACGTGCACTCATGTGCACATGTTCCCCCACCCCTTCACATACGCATACTTAAATCAATGAAAAAAACAAACTTTTTTTTTTTTTTTAACACAGGAAGCAAGGCTGTTTGATACCTGTCTTCAGAAATTTTAGTCCCTGGTCACTTTACCAAGTTACTAAAAGCAGAGGGGTGTGCTAATCTTGAGATGGCCTGGAAACAGAACCAGGAAGGAGCTGGGCTCTCAGCATCCTCCTCAAGAACAAAACTCCAGTGACCCAATTTCCTAATGGTTCCACCATTTCCCAGATCATTCCAGGCTGGCACCAAGCTTCCTACCCTTACACATTTTACCTGCAACCTGCAGCAAGCCTTTCCCATACTCCTGATACTGTGCTAAGGCGCCTCACAGACATACAGTCGTGTGCACTAGGAGTACTAATTTATTTTCTCTCACTCCACACATCAGGAGAGGATATAATTCAGGCAGGACTTCACAACTAGAAAGCAACAGAACTAGCATTCAGATTCATATTTATCTAGGCATGCAGGTATATGCTTACAACCCTAGCCTTTAGGAAGCTGAGGCAAGGAGCATCAAGGAATTGAGGCAGCCTGAGCTAGTTAGGAAGTTTAAGGCTAGATAGTGAGACTCTGTCTCAAGAATAGTCACATATTATTCTAAAATTTGTATTGTTGATCACTGAGTCATATAGGTTTGAAACCTGAGATTTCTTTTGTTTGCCTGATGCCTTCATTGGTATCATGATTGGTAGCACTGCCAGTTAGTAATGTACAGCCAAAAGCAATACAAACTGGAGCTAGAACATAAATTCAAGAAAATGATAGTGAAAGTTCAGAGATTCCAATTCTTTCTCCAAGAATAGAAAAATGAGTCTTTTCTGGCATTTTGAAAAGGAGTAAGAAAGAACCAGCCTGAGGAAAAGCAAACAAAATTCACTAACTAGGCCTGTTCCAGAGTTCATAGACTTGTAAAACTTGGAGGAACTGTGGTACCCATCCCAAGTTACTTACTGATGAGAAGCCTTCTCAGTTTAGATGATGTGCTTTAGATGGTAGAGGAGATGACCAGATAGGTAGTATTTCACAGACAACAAACAGGAGTCATAGTTGGAACTGTAAGACATATATTTTGAATGGAAGACAGAAAACAAGAAACAGAAGAGGATGGGTTGGGGAGGGAAGAATTAGATTACACACTTGAAAATAATTGGAGATGTAATGTGTACCAACATAATGCAGTGTCATCAAAGTCATGAGGATTGAGACACTGAAAACTGAATACTTATTTCCTAGGCAGGAAGAATGGAGACAGCTAAAATGACATTTAATTTGTCAAGAATGCAATCTGCAACCCACAAAATGATGGTTTTATAAGCCTTGGAAATATGTACTAGACTGCCAGGTCTTAAGTAGAAATAATGTGGTTTTTTTATATCAATCATAGTGTGTGTATGTGTGTGTGTGTATCAATTTATGAAATTTTCTAGAACTTTCAATGTGATAGTCACTAGCCATAGGTGCTATTAAGATAATATTTCTAGATCTGGAGGCACATGCCTATAGTCTTAACACTTAGAAGGCTGCAGCAGGAGGATAAGGAGTTTAAGATCAACCTAAGATAGTGAGACCCTGTTTCAATCAAGCAACCAACGAATGAACGGATGAATGAATGAATGAATGATTGAGTGAATGAAACTGGGTATGTGCCTGGACTCCCAGCTACATAAGAGGATCAGGTAGGGAACTGAGCACAAGAATTTGAGTCTTGTATCAAACAGCAGTGAGCA